TCTGTAAAATGAGAGATATCTGTGTAATTTTAAGATAAATTTTATTTTCCGAATAAATAGTAAAAGGGCTTGCCATAGTTTCTTGGTACTTTTAGTAATAGATCTGCACCCACAACTTTAACCTAGTCCATTATCTGAAAAAATGTTTGTCAAATTCAATATCCGAAGCAATGTAATTAGTATGCATCCTTAGATATTTACATTTCCAATGTCTTTGTCCGAGACAAAATTACCAAATGTAAATGTACTTTATTTCCCGATCAATGTATTGGCGCGGTTCCAAAAACACCACGTGCAGGGCGGGACAAACAGCTAGACAGAAGCAGGGCTTGGAGCACGTGGATTAGCGGAATCAAAGCATGTAAATATAAGGAATAACTGTCAGATTTTTCAATTTCATGAAGATGATCAATCGATTGGCTTGCGTGATAATTTTATGCATAAACGCCTTCGGCGTTTATGCAAATTATCACGCAAGCCAATCGATTGATCACTTCATGAAATCGAAAAATCTGACAGTTATTCCTTAAATATATCATCTATGCAAGTTTTGTCATCATAGTTACTTGGAAAGGAGAGCTGCAACAAAAACTTTTAGCTTTTCACTCATCCGTTAAGTTTAGGTCAGATCTCCAGCTTCCGAAGCAAGCCTTGTAGTGTGTATCCTTAACAACAATGCAATTTTGGTCAACATAGGGCTTATCATTACATGAGACATTCACTAACCTGCTCCAAAAACAACAACCTGGTAATTCCTTTAATTTGTTGATAATGCAGCGTCTGAAACCTTGACTGGCGCAATGAAACGTACTAAAACACATGCGTATCTGATCAATGTAGGACAAAGATATACTTCAAAGAAAACTGCTCCAAAGACTTTTACCCAGGACGCTGAGGGTATCGCATTAGCTCCTCCAACTTCGTTGAGGTGAGCTAAAAAGAGCATTGAGAACAATCACTACGGATGTGAACTAAAATTTCCAAGGAAAACTTCATGTATTTTACTTACTGAAAACTGCAAAAATATGGGTAAAAAGATCTGGTAGTAGAAGAAAAAAGCTTTATTTGAATGGAAAAAGGTGAAGAAAATAAATATGCATTGTTATTATATAGCTAATAAATAGTCTCTACTAAAACACTACCAAAAATCTAGAGAATTTAGCGTTCAATAGCTTGACGTTTTATTGAACGCTGAGTTTGTATTACGTGTACGAGTATACCCGAAATATTCCGAATACGAGCGTTCAATATCGAAAGCCCCGTTGTAAAAAAAAAAGTCGTCTGGTCAAATTCACAGAGCTAAATTAAAGAAAGGAAGTGGCATCTAGGTAAGATGTGTTTATTTTTCACACACAATGAAATTATTCATTTAAATACAGTACGTAATAAACGCATTAGAACCTAAATAAGCAAATCATATCGCTCAGTAGGGTCATCGGAATGGTGCGATATTGAACGTTAAAAGGACATATGTTAATTTGAATACCGATACTAAAAATCATTAATTTGAGGTGTTTTTTAGTTGGAATAATATTACAAATTATGTGGAAATGTTTTAGCTATATAATAAAGGAGTTATTGAACTTGTATTGGTGAATATTGGCACTCGTTGGCTGTTCAAATGCCTCGCAAGCTCGTGCATTTGAACATCCAACTTGTGCCAATATTCACCAATATAAGTTCAATAACCCCATATTATTCTCACTTCCTTTATCGGTAGATCATATGGCAAGCCCATTTACTATTTTTTCGTGAAATAAAAATTGTCTTTCAATTAGAGAGATATATATATCTCTAGCATAGAGAGCTATCTCTTTTTCTTATAGAGATATCTCGTTCAGTTTGGCTAAAGGAGATATCTTTATACCTTAGAGAGATATCTTTTTTACATAAAGAGATATCTTTATAAGCTAGAGAGATATCTCTTTAAGTTAGAGAGATATCTCTTTAATAAGGTTAAAAGAGGTATCTTTCTTAGTTAGAGAGATATCTCTTTAGATTTTCAAAAAGAGATATCCTTATAAGCTAAGAAGATATTTCTTTTCCAGTGATCCTTAAAACAGAATAATTAATTCTCCACTTTAAAACGAAATCAAAACAGGAAGTAAAGTTTCTGAAATAGTTAAGAGATGTAATTAGAAAAAAGAATCCAGAATAATATATGTACTATGTAGACAAAAATGCTATAAATTCCTTACTTAAAACAACAAATAATAATGGCGACTTCTATGGCAAGCCCTTTTACTATTTATTCGTGAAATAAAAATTTTCTCTCAAGAAGAGAGATATCTCTCTAGCATAGAGAGATATCTCTTTAGCGTATAGAGATATCTCTTTGACTAAAAGAGATATCTTTATACCTTAGAGAGATATCTCTTTAAACAAAAGAGATATCTCTTTTACTTAGAGAGATATCTTTATAAGATAGAGAGATATCTCTTTAAGCGAGAGAGATATCTCTTAAAGGTAGAGAGATATCTCTATAACAAGGTTAAAAGAGATATCTTTCTTAGTTAGAGAGATATCTCTTTAGATTTTCAAAAAGAGATATCTTTATAAGCTAAAGAGATATCTCTTTTAATGAAAGAGATTTCTCTTTTCCAGTGATGCTTAAAATAGAATAATTAATTCTCCACTTTAAAGCGAAACAGGAAGTAAAGTCTCTGGAATAGTTTCGATGTTATAAGAACAAAGACTGAGCAATTAGCAATTAACTAGAATGATACATGTACTGTAGATAAAAATGCTATAAATCCTTTACTTGAAACAACAAATAATAATGGTTACTTCGTTGATGAAAATGCTAATATTCAGGAAAACGAAAGTAAGCATATATATATAATCTCAAATGCAATGGACCGAATTTTCTCAGCTTATAAAATAATCAACTATTTCTAATTTGAGTATTTCCGTCAAAAAAAGCTTACTTCCGGTAAAGGGAGAAGTCATTTGAAATGGAATTGAAATAAAAAAAAATATGAAGAGAGGTATCTCTTTGCAACAAAGAGATATCTCTTTTTGCTTGAGAGATATCTCTTTTAGACACTTTTGAAAGATATCTCTTTCACTTTAAGAGTTATCTCTTAAGATAAACTACGAGAGATATCTCTTTCACTTAAAGAGATATCTCTTTAACTTGGAAATATATCTCCAAAAGTAAGAGAGATATCTTTCTAGATGAAATAGATATCTCTTTAACGTTTAGAGATATCTCTTTTCACGAAAGAGATATCTCTAAAGGAGAAAGAGATATCTTTTCAAGTGGAAGAGATATCTCTCTAAGTTTAAGAGATATCTTTCTAAGTATAAGAGATATCTCTCTATGTTTAAGAAATATCTCTTTCTCAGAGAGATATCTCTTAAAAATGAGAGATATCTCTTTAAGTTGAGAGATATCTCTATTTTGTAAGAGATATCTCTGTAAAATGAGAGATATCTGTGTAATTTTAAGATAAATTTTATTTTCCGAATAAATAGTAAAAGGGCTTGCCATAGACTTCGTTGATAAAAATGCTAAAAGTTAGATAATCAGGAAAACGAAAATAAGCACATATGTTATCTCAAATGCAATGGACCGAATTTTCTCAGCTTACGAAATAATCAACTATTTCTAATTTGAAATCTAGACAAAACTGAATAATTTGTGATGTTTAGTAAAGCTATAATATAGAATCATGAATGTGTCGAATTTAATAATTCTTTAATGTACTTCCGTCAATAAAAGGCTTACTTCCGGTAAAGGGAGAAGTCATTTCAAATGGAATTTAAGTAAAAATAATGAAAAGAGATATCTCTTTTTGCTTTAGAGATATCTCTTTTAGACACTTTTGAAAGATATCTCTTTCACTTTAGGAGATATCTCTCAAGATAAACATAAAGAGATATCTCTTTTACTTTAAGAGATATCTCTTTAACTTGGAAAGATATTCCAAAAGTAAAAGAGATATCTCTGTAGGTGAAAGAGATATCTCTTTAACATTTAGAGATATCTCTTTTCACGAAACAGATATCCTTTCAAGTGGAAGAGTATCTCTAATAAAATGAGATATCTCTCGAAATATAAGAGATATCTCTCTAAGTTCAATAGATATCTCTTTCTTAAAGAGTTACCTCTTAAAAATGAGGGATATCTCTTTAAGTTGGGAGATATCTCTATTTTTCAAGAGATATCTCTCTAATATAAGAGATATCTCTGTAATTTTAGATTTTATTTTCCGAATAAATAGCAAAAGGGCTTGCCAAGATCCTGCATGGTGATATCATAGAATATGGTTTCATATTATCAATTTCTGTGAAGTGTACCGTTTTGCATAACGTACAACGGTGAACCTACGCTGACAGCTTCGCTCAAGGTAGAAAGTAAACGCCTCCTAACTGCTAGCTTATAACTGACAGTTTCTCTTTATCCCTGATTGGTTGCCCGTGCAACATATTATTTCCGTAACAATGTTGACCAAAATGAGTCCACCAATCACACAGACCTCATAACAGAGGCGTGAATTGTTAACGCTGGGAATTTATGTCAAAATAGATCTAGACTGTGACGTAATGGTTAATTGTACACCGACTTTATCATCGGGATCCAGTACAGATTGAAAGATTTTACATGGTTCTCAGAAGTACGTGTACTGCAAAATGCTCTAATCCTTCATAAATTAGCGCACTCAAAATGAATAAAATGTCAACTCCGTAGCGAACTTGTGAATCCAAGTTGACGCTTTTGGACTTAACGCTTCTATTTCCTATTATCATGCACGGTTTATTTGCAGTGAGGGACAAGAAGCAACAAAGTGCTAGAATATGATAAGTACTAAATTTAGAACAATTGAGAAATGACAACAAAGCTGGAAGTTCATGAACTTTTATTTTTGATCGTTTATTCTCATACAGTCATACGATGTGAGTACAATGTATAGATATACATTACGCAAAAAATAAAGCTCTTTTAAAAAAATAAATACTATTTTAAAAAAACTTTAGGCATAGACGATACAAGGCATAGACGATACAAGGATGTTAATATATGGAATAAAATATACAAATATGGAGAGGGTAAGATTTTAATCCGTAGGAATCCTAAGTGTTCGACTATCCAACAAATGTATGTTCACTGTTAGATCCAAATGTGTATAATAAGTTTTAGCATTGATTTTTTCACTTGTTTTCAAATGAAAGGATAGCATTTACCATCCTCTGTGTATGTCCTTTTTTAAATAGCAAAGTCTTATAAATTTATCCGTACATTGCACATTTAACCTCTGCATTCATGGGGGTCTTAGCTGGACAGTTAAAAGCTGTAGAAAATTCCTTTATCTGTGATAATGCACTATTCGTCCTGTAAAGAATTCCAAAAATAAAAATATTTTAAATTTAAAAAAAAATTTAATTATATGAGCATTCATTTGCAAAAAAGTTGACCAACTATAAGTTAAAAGTCTGCCATATACAGTATCTTTTGAATTTTTTTTCTAAAATAAGTGTGCGTTTGCTTACTTGAAAGGAACCTTTTTTTAATTTTACCTTATGTCTTCAGAAACTGTTCCTCGCACTGCATTATAATAAGCAACATTGTCATTTCTGTTATAGCAGCTGGCCTGTAAAAGAACACAAATCAACTTTTACAGTCCAGTATGTCAGGGTCTTTATTTGTATAAACCGGGTTTTCTTTACAGCGGAGACAATTTTAAAAATGCAAATCAATTTGTTATAAAATACCTGAGCATAGGAAACGAAGAACATCTGGTCATTAGTCAGTTCCAAGCCTGGAGCCAGCTTTTCTCCTCCGTTCTTCTGCACCCATTTCTTGTATGCCTACAAACATGAGGTAACAGATAAGAGGTACTATAGATAGTAATATTATTCATGTTTGTAATCATGTCTCCCTTTCATCTAAAAAATAATCTGATTTTCTTATGAGTATAAATCTGTTTTTAAAAATTTTTTAGTACCTTATAGGCAATCTGGACTCCGCTGGTTTCAGCCATGGCTTCTGCTGCCCAACGTTGTCCGTTTACTTTTACCTAAACGGAAAGGTTTTATAGATCATCATTTGTTGAAATGTAGAGATATAATAATTTACCAGCAAAACTTAAAATATCTTGCATATGTTGATGAAAAACTATTCCCTACATCATCATGAATTTTAAACTATTCGAAACACGTTGTCTCCAAAAAACACCTAGTGAAATATATATTATATCGACCCAGACTTACTGTGATTGGAATGGTTTGCCCTGGAATAGTGAAGGGTCCCATAGTTTGATTGTTGTAGTAATTCTCCACACACCTCTTGGCCTCGATCCACTTGTTCGTCGTCTGGTTGCTCCACCAATCCTCGAATACACCCTCTACATTGTAGTATCCACCTAAAAATCAGAAGCTCTTCTTTAAGTAAAGTTTATGAAGTATCAGATTGGTGTCTTTTCTTTAATTAGCCAATCTCTATTTGTGGACGTTTTGAAATTAAGGGTACCATTAGTGAGACGGTTTCGATGCTTTCTAAGGTAAAGTATGGCGGGAAACTGGTATTGCATCAAAACCGAAACAGAATGATGATTGGCTCTGAAACGTTTGAGAAACGTGTTTCCAAGATCTCGGCAAATACTTTAAATGAGTTTAATTTTCAAATAATTCTTATTGTAACACGTTTTTCATTGCAAGGATTATGAAAGGTCCTACGTTATGTCGAACTCTTCCTACAATGCCAAAATAGGATACAAGAGTAAGCAGTAGTTAATTTATGACCGAAAAATATTTACCCGAGTGATCAATGCCATGTACAAGATGGTGGGCAATGACGCTGCCCATGGAGCCAAAGTTCATAAAGTGAGGGAGGGTGTAATCGTAGAAGGGGAACTGAAGAAGACCCGCGGGGACAAGCAGCTCATTCCAGGGGTTGTAGTAACTCATGAAGGTGTCGTATGTGCGGTAGACCCACTCTTCCTGTTTGTTCACGTGATTCTTCAGTTTCTTGTTCCAGGATTTCTGGATAAACTTGTTTACACTCAGAAGGTTTCCGAAATAGTCGTATTGGTCCACTTGGAGCTGGACAAAGCATGGCGAATTAAAAAGTGCATGCAAGAATTCATACATGCATTTATTTTACATATTACTGAAAATATACTTTTTTTGGTGATGATTCAGTGATGTAACTTTAACAAATAATTTTATCAAACTTGATCTCTTACACTACTATAGAGATTATCCATGGCTGCATCATTCATCATAAAGTCAGGGTATCCTAGCTTGTCCAAGCTCCCTTTCATCTTGAATGAGAATTGGAAAAATCATGTTCAATATTCATGTATTTAAAAATGAATTTCCTGATTATTCATCAGAAAAACAGGAAAATTCGTCTGAAGTATACATACTTTATCTTTAGCTCTGGCCTTTGTGGTGTCATCCATGAAAACGTTGTTCATTGTGCTGTCAACAAGAGCCTCCTTTACATAATCGAGAATTTCATGGGCCTGGAAGATGAAAAAAGAAAACTTCTAACAATGTACATACTTTTTCCTCAAGCAGTAAGGTTTTTAAAAAATATCAGCTAGTTATAGTTTCTAGTAAGATTTAAATTATTGAAGTTAGCAGCCAACCTTCTGTTTATTTGCATCTGCGAAATGGTCCCTGACGTACATAGAACTGAGGGCATCTCCTAGGTACCTATCCATGTTTTGGAAGCAGTACAACCACGTTCCCAGGAATTGTGGGATACCATACCTATCGACATAAAACTCACGACTGGCGTGAACATACTCCCAGGAAAGTTCTACGTCATAGCGGTCCATCAACTTCCAGACCAAGTAGTTGTTTAACATTCTGTTCAAAAGTACATGTATACAAAAGGAGAAGTCAACAGAAAAAAGTTATTGTGGTTCTTTAGCTGCAATAATGTAGCCCTCTCCGATTTTTTTTTATCTGTTATTTTCTGGAGAGGGCTACAATTCCACAGCATCTCCGTAATGGTGCAAAAATATTTTGTAAATACTGGCGACTGCAGGCAGAATCAATTGTTTTCACAATCAACTTACTTCTAATAAGACGAAATTTTTCTTCACTGTCGACATCAAAGCTCGTTAAACGCGAAAACCATGTAAAATAAATCTGTGCATTTACTTCTGCAGCCATGACAGTTCACGCGTGACGTAGTGAGACTTGCGCTTGAAATTTAGAACAACTCAATAAAGCAAATGTCAATGTTTATAAATAATTGTGATGAATAGTAACACTAAACATCGATAAATAAAATCATTCCATGTTTCATTTTTTTGTAAACACCGATATTTAAGCTTAAAATAAGGTAATTCCAAAGAAATCCGCTCCCTATAGATCCTTAATCTCATTGGCTGTCCCGAAATAAAATCTGTCAAGGTCAGTAAACATGGCGGATAAATTTAAGTTGTGATGTTGACATACACGAAAAATACTGATATATGGATTGTTCTGTATATTTTTGGATCGATTTATGTCTGGGATAACTACATTTTGGAAGTCCAGGTAAGACATATAAATAAGATAGCCGTTTACTAACAATTTAAGCCGAAATACGTGCGGGAGCGAATCGCTCCCGCTCTGCACCATTACGGAGATCCTAAGGAGTTGTAGCCCTCTCCCAAAAAAAAAAAAAAAAGGAGAGGGCTACATTATTGCAGCTAGTGGTTCTTAATTGATAACTTATTTCCAATGGTGAAAAAGCTTTTAATAGTTCTATTTAGATCCATTAAAATTCATTTTCGACTTTTATTTGAGATTAAAATTCAATACCTTGTTTTATTAACCCCTAACCCATCTATCATATCGTTCATTTTTTTCAACCAATCAGCTTCCCGTAGAACAATTTTTGTAGATGGACCAACATTTGCATCGTTGAACATATACAGAATGTGGGAGGAAAAGTCAATCTATGAAAGACAATATTAAATATTTTGTCAAACGAATCCAAAATGTATGTATAAAAATATGCTCTTATTAATTTATGAAGCATATTATGGTTAATTAAATTATGCTTGATGCACTCACCGCTGTTCCTAGCATAGTATTTAAATCTGAAATAGATACTCTCTTCTCGTAAGCATGGGGGTCAGACGTGGGCATTGTATTCTTTGTGATCTAGAATTAAAACATATTATTAAACTAAAAATCATGATTAAAAAGGATGAAAGGTAAAGCCCAGTTTGCACGCTCTGCTTTGCAGACTGAAATAGAGAACATGTAAGTTCTAATTTGTCTGCAGTGCAAAAACACACTCTTCTATTGCAGCTTGCTTTAAAGCAGCTCCAAAAGGAGAACATGTAAACCGGATTTAATAAAACAAACGAAAGTGTTTGAAAGTTCTTGAGACACCCATGTTAGGAAAACACACCTGTAATGATGTAACAAAAAATCAATTTTGGAATGATGTCTTAGAGTCTTGGTTATCCATCATCACTGATAATTGTTTTGACAAGCCAAATCTTACACAGTCTGAAATTTTATCAACCCCAGTTTGGCTAAACTCTTGTATCAAAGTGAATAAAAAGAGTATTTTTTATAAAGAATGGTACAAAAATGGTGTAAAAATTATTGATGATTTTTTAGATGTCAATGGGTCATTTTTATGTAGAGAAAATTTTGTGGAAAAATATAGCATTCATCATGTATGTTTTATGCAGTATAACAGCATTATAAGTGCTATTTCAAAGTTTTTAAAAGATACAAAATTTTCTAGGGTAGGCTTCTCAAAGCTACAGCATCCATTTTTGCCATTGTTATACAAAAGATTAATATTGATTGATAAATGTTCAAAAGATATTTATAAAAGTATTAACACAAAGAATATAAAGCCAACTGGTTTTTCAAAATGGAGTTCAGAAATGCTTCTAAAAGGATTTCAAGAAATGGAGTTGAGAGATGTTTTTAATGTGTGCTTTAAGGTGTCTTCAAATTCAGCTGTCCAGTGGTTACAATTTAGAATCTTGCATAGAATACTATGTAAATTATTACCTTAAAAAAATTAAAATAAAAGAAAATGATATTTGTACATTCTGTAACAATGAATGTGAAACCATATTGTACAGTCTGTTTATATGTAAAGATGTAATGCATATTTGGAATGATCTTAGTCTATATATTTACAATTATACATCAAAACGTGTAGGTTTTAATATTCAAAAATGTAATCTTTGGAGAGTTACCTTTGTCAAATTCAAACTATGTCATAAATTTTGTAATGTTATATGCTAAACAGTACATTTTTCACTGCTTAAAAAATGAAAAGAAGCCTAATTTAAATGGGCTGATTGCCCATTTAAAAATGTATTATAAGGTTGAAAAGTACATATCTGTTAAAAATCTAACTGCAGAAAATTTTGAGTCTGCATGGTCACATTGGAAAATTATGTTGGAAATGTAATCCTCTGAAAAAAAAACATATTTAGATCAAATGTAGCATACTTTTTTCCCCCTTTTTTTTATCCATATAAAGTGTGTAAAAATTTGCAAAAATTGATGTACTGTTGGTGTGAGTGAAGTGCGAAAGTGGGTGGATGTGAAAAATTTTCTGTGCAATTTTGATAAATGTATTTGATGTTTAAATTGAAAGCATGGAAATAAAGCATTAAAAAAAAATCAATTTTATCAACCCACATTGCATTTGTACAAAACTTGAGAATGATATATAGTATATTTAATAGGGTATCCTTTTGACTTACATTAGCCAGGTTCATTTCTATTGTGAAGGCATCGTTGATAAATGTTTCAATGCGAGTATTTTTTGTGGTATTGTCTAGCGTTATGTTGGAATCTCTGACTAGGAAATTAGCCAGACGTCTCATGAACGTCTTCATATCATTCCTGTACTGAAATAGAAAATGCTCCATAACTATACCTTTCATCTCAATATTGAAATATAATGTTCCGTCATTATGAATTTTAACTTTTTGTCTGCTGAATATTTAGAAAACAACTGCAACGAAAAAAAAAAATTAGGTAGAAACTCAAAGGTTTTGAAGACGCAAAATTGGACAAGTTATTTGGTTATTTTAGGGTCACGATTATTACTGAATAAAAAAAATACAAACTTTTTCTGTTGAAGGTTCCGTATAGTAGTACCAAAACATCGACATACCGGAGTAATCCAGCTGCAAAAGGGAGATGTGTCATTTTAATTATTCGCATCAATTGTGATAATGCTCGTACAAAATTTGAATGAAATTTTTTTTACCTCAATCACTCTTTTATGCCAGTCATACCAATCAGTAGCCACTCGGAAGGTATAAAATGCAGCGGTCCAGTAATCCACTGAGACCTTCCGAAAAGCATTATGGAAGTCGAAAGAAGTGTTGCTGAAAGTTCCAAGAACGTACCAACCTCCAATATTGTTGATAACCTTGGTGAGAAGAGGCGTCCCCTTTGCTCGCTCCTTTCGGTAAGTATCAGTACAAGAGGAGAAATAGTGCTTCAGCTTTCGTTCTGTTGAATAATCTTGGCTGCGGACAATGGGAGATTCCAGTAATTTCTTCAGCTTTTCTTCATTATGATAATACATATTACTGTAGACCGTGATGGACGAGGTTTCACTGTCCAAGGGATGTTCGGTTTTGAAACGCCCACAAGCGTATCTGTAGAAATTGTCGCAGGGCTGGACGCTGGTGTTCAAGTTGGACACCACGTAAGAGGCGCTTTTGAGACAAGGTGGACTTACACATAACTGATTCTGTCCGCCAGTCTGGGCGCTCGTGGATGGCGAATCGGTGCCATTACCAGCGCCAGAGCTTACCATGGTCCCCAAAATTATACATACTACAACAGCTAAAAACGCCACTAGTCCCAAAGCTATTTCAGTTACCCTGAAAGAATAGCTTCTTATTGTTACTTCTGGTACGATCGGGGAGCGATCTGTCGATTTTCCGAATTCGGCGTAGTTTTCTGTCATGATGTCAACGTATTCTTTTTCCTCAGATGCCTTTGCAGAACTGGAAACTCCTGACGCAACAATAACAGTCGACGCCACTTTGTCAAAGCTTTAAATGATTTTTCTCAATCACACCAAAAAGGGTCCGAAAATTTTCCAGAAGCCACCCCCAACACGTCAATGAAACAGCGATGTGCAGGAATGACTGATGCAATAAGGGAACAAACTTCAAATGTTTACTTTATTTATTATAAAATTGAAAGAGAATCAAAGTATGAATATGTGCAAAATTAATTCAAGTAGTAGGTTTGGAAGATAGGACACGGTTTATGGGTTTCCTGACTGGTAGCAGTTGGGACAGGGTGGCATGGAGCCGAGGCTCATTATGTGTATACATACTGTAAAACAATAAAACAATACAGGGGTATAGCTCTCTATGTACACAACATTATCATAATTATCTCAATACCATCGTTATATTATGAATTAAATAACGTATCGATTGTTATGAAACTTGTTTTGTGTAATGTCTCATTTTTGTTTCCTTTTTTTTTGTCTTATTTTTTTTTTTTTTTTAAAAAGTATTGTAATTTAGTGTTGTCTGTTTTCCTCCCTCAAGATTTGCGTAGTTCTACCTGTGTTTTACAAGAAAGTAATATTCCTAATGTTTGAATTTCTTTTTTTATTAAGAAATACTATAAAACACGTACAATGAATAAATAATACAATATAAATGAAACCGATTTATTATTATCATTTTAATATACCGGTAGCTCTTTGTAGAAACTTAATGATGCATTTGTTTGAAGGGCGCTGTTTTAGCGGATTCATAAGATGTTTTCGCGGAACTTTAAAAAGAACGTCGATTTTTTTTTGTGAGAGGCAAGTATAAAATTCAGTAATCTTCAACATTTAAAATAATGTTTTCTCTTCGGAAGGTAGAAAAGAGTTTGAGCAAAAAATCAGTACAATGTATATATATATATAGTTCATTTTGATATAATTAAAATGTCTAGTAAAATTATCAGTTCGGATTCGAGCTTGTTTTAGTAATCCGCCAACTCTTTACTGGAACCACTCATGGATGATACTCTTTTTCAATAACTCCATTATCAGGTTCAGCGCTATAATGTACCAAATTCATATCTTTATAAGTATTTAAATAATGATTTCTAATTTTAATACTATCAAAACCTCCTTTACAAACTCGTTTAGTAATACCTTACCACTTGTGATCTTTTTCTTACTTTCTATTTGTATCTTGGGCTGGTAAAGATGTGTTATAGCTGCAGAAATGTAGCGCTATGGTTTTACATTATGGTCAAAGACTATAAGAAACCATAACACTACAGTTCTGCAGATATGGGCGCTATGGAAATTAAAGCCATGTATTCTTCTCTACAAATCACTCGAACTTCCTTGTGGCTTAAAGAAGAAAAATATGTACTTTGGTATATGTTTGATTTAAAGTTACTTGGAAATGGGTCAACTCCCAAAGTTAACCTGTTTAATGTTTTAGCCAGAACTAGAATGCGAAAAATATGAGTTCTGATCCTAGATGCATCATCATTGCAATTTCGATCATAAAAGTCCTAGAGGTATAGACCTTCTCCAGAAGCAGTCATCTGGATTATGTAGGTCAGATCTAGCATCCAAAGCAAGTATGGTAGAGACGTCTTATTATCATCACCAATTCAAGGTGGTCCAGGTAGGGCTTATAGAACTTTACGTTGGGAAAAACTTCTTCCATAAGCTTGAACCTGGTAACTTATCAGGGAAATGCTGACCAGAAGCAAGTCTTGTAGTGCCAATATTTAGAGATGCACCATCCTTGCAACTTTTGTGCAGGTAAATGGTTATGGTTATATGGAAATGAACTTCCTACAAAAAATTTAACTTGATTATGTAGCATATCAGAATTTTGTATATTTAACTTTAAAATTGTTTTAATTTTATGCATCTACAGTACAGGCCACGAGTTTTCCGCAAACAACACGGGGCCCCGTGGACCGCAAGTCCACGCATTAGCGTGGACCTCGAACCTTGACGGCGTCTTTGAAGTCAGCGTGTCTGTGCACCGTGTAACACAGTGTGTCACAGTTCTGATGATAAATAATTTAAACATTCTCATTGCCCTTATTTAATAAAATTAAATCAACTTTCGAAATATTTGTTGTACTTTTTCCATACATATATTGGTAATTTATCGCATACAGATAATTAAACTAATAAGATGCCTTGAAACTTAATAACAACGTACTCGTGTCCAGCAAAAAAAATATACAATCACGTTTCAAGTTAAATCCTAATTATATTAGTCATAAAAAGTTCAATAGACTATTATTATATTACACTAAGAGGAAACACGCTTTCATAAACGAATTACTTAATTGTCTCTACTTTCGATTTTGATTTTAACTGTGTTCAATTAAATCGTTGATACAAGATCGTTTTCCCCTTCGTATTACATATCAGATGCGTGATTATACTAAGTGAATTAATTATTTTGTAAGAATTTAAATGTACATGTCCTGTGTCTAGATTATTTTTTTTTAAATACACATCAGACTCGCACATGAATTCTGCTCTTTGATACCGATACTCGGCGAATCATTGGACAGGTTCAGATAAGGATTAATGCTGTAAGTCTAACACTAAAAATCTGTAGTTATGTAAAATATGGAGATAAATATTAAATGCGGTAAACTCCAAAATCTACTGAACATGCAGAGATTATAATCTAAATAATTTCATTAATTAAAATAGTAATAAACTTAGTAAACACGCTGAATCCAAAAATCACAGCGGAATTGTTGGAAAATGAAATGTGCTAACTTCAGTACGAGTATTACTTCATTCTGAAATATATCGTGTGAAAAGAAGAAAAAACGGTTTGAGAAAACATAGATATTGAACGAATTTTAAAAATGCCCCCCCCCCCCCCCTTCTAGAAAGCGATACGAATCAGTTGGTTAAAACTTTATATATAAGAAGTCTGCAAATTTATGTAATGTTTTTTTTTAAATCTTAATCTACAGGATACATTATTTTTGTCTGATAAAGGATAAATAAATTAAGAAATAATTGTAAGTTTATAATTGTTGTTTTAGTGAAACCTGGAAGGTGAATTTCGCATGATATCAGTTGAGTGTGTTACGTTATACACTTGCTGTGGTCAGAGCTAAAGAATTTGAAAGGTGTGATAAACATACGGCGCCCCTGGCCCACCGGCAGAGACCCAATATATTTTTGAACAGGTGTGAACTCGGAACTGACCATAAGATTGTTTCAAATAACAAGAGAAATTCTTTCCGCGTAAACAGACTTTCAAGGTCACCTAGCGTCATGGTATTTTGATTGGCAGGTGATGCACGAGAATTTTGTGCGTACAGCATATACAGAGAACGAATTAATTGCATTACATGGGTTGAATATGAACAAAAGTTGTGGCAATTGTTAGAATTATAGAATGATTAATTGTTACCTCCTTAGCTTAAATAAAACGAAGAATTAAAAAAAATTTCAGACTATATGTTAAAAGGGGGTTGTATGAGTCTCTCTCTCTCTCTCTCTCTCTCTCTCTCTCTCTCTCTCTCTCTCTCTGGTGTTGCTCTTTATACACTTTACAAGAAAAGAAAAACTTACTGAAATAACTACTTACACTGAAAGGATTTTAAAAACACAACGTAGTGAATACTTCTCTATGAAAATAATGTTTGCTGTTACGAGAAATACGCTTTGAAATTATTGCATTAATTTTTTTCTGCTGACGATTTTCGCATCCACATTCAGAATAATTCAAGATGAACAAAATAAATGTATTTTAATAAGGAATATACATGATAGTGCTTGGATCGTACAATAGTACTGTACATGTTAAAACCATGAACATAAATACAGCTGGGATTAAATTTTATACTGTACTATACAGTGTATGAGACACGAATCAGCACAACACCATTTCGTCTTCCTTTGTAACATGAAAACATGAGATTAAATTATTCATTTGAAATAAAATTCATAATTTTGATTTTGTAATAATTTTACTAACATAAATTTCTAGACACACAGTTAATTCAAATGAAAATCATTCAATTTTTTTTTTACCGATATCTAATCTCAATATCATGCGTGCCATTCGAAGTCCAATATCTGGTAGAATAAAAACGATTATTATATATACATAAACCAAAGTTATAAATTGTCATCAAAATTTATGATCAAATTTGTATCAGAAACAAACGATTTTGTAATACTATTTATACGGTGCAGCTTGGAGGGGAATTTTCTGGACATGCAACGGAACGAAATTTACTGGACACGGTGCGACACGGAGGACATTAGCCGAGATTTTTCTAGACACGGTGCGGCACGGTGTGCCTACCTGTATATTTCAAATCCACACACACCATGCTACACCGTGTACACGGTGTAACACAGAGCGTTTCACACGGTGTTTTTTCCACCGAGCGTTGCGGAAAACTCGTGGCCTGTACTGTATCGTAGTTATGACTTATAGGTTGGTCAATAAAACTTTAAAAATCAAATGGACCAACTTAAAAAAATATCCAGAAAACGTTAGCCAGATCCAGCCTGCAAAGCAAATTTGGTTATGATTTTAGATGCACCATCTATGCAATTTTAATCATGAAAGGACATACAGGTATAGAACTGCTCAAGAAGTACTCATCTGGATTATGTAAGTCAACTCTCGCATCAAAAGTTGTATGGTCGACTGTACAAGTATATCCTATTGTCATTATCTGCATGTTCAATGCGAAGTGCATGGTCCAGGTATATAGGGCTTACATAGCTACTTGGGAAGAGCTTGGTCTATAAAATTGAACCTGATCACTTACCTGGAAAATGTAGCTTGTCAATCTCTAGATGCATCATCCTTGCAACTTTTATACATTTAGAATTTTGTATACTAGTATATAACTTTTAATTTTATCTTTCCATTTTTATGATATTTTATAAGTATATATTTATATCCACTGAATATTTTCTCCTTTATTTCTTAAGAAACTCATTGCGTTAATCACTGCATGAACTACATTGAGTTATGTCCAAGACACGATGTAGTTACGATATCGACACATTACTTTTTTATAGTTTCTATAATATTTCTCTATTCTCGTGTGTTTATTACATGACTTCCTGTTTTAAGACTATTTCCTTACTGTCAATATCCTCGATATCGTGCCGATATCAAATCATGATTGTTCCAAGAATTGTGGTTTCCATCCTTAATATTGTGTGTTTTACAACTTTTACTTAAACTTTTTTTTATAAATCTTTACTGAAGTGTATATACGATATCGTTTCGATATCGAATCATGTTTGTAAAGCCCTTGGTAAATACCTTCCCTGTTACTTTGAATGTGTTTATGTTTATTTACTTTACTTTTACGGAGATTTTACCTGCCGTCGATATCGTCGATATCGACGATATCGCATCGATATCGAATCATGATTGTTAAAAGCATATTACTTTACCAATCTTCACCCTAATACAAAAACTTTATTTTTACATCACTTCTGTGTTTAATAAGTTTTCCTTACTGTCTATATCGTCGATATCGACGATATCGTATCGATATCGAATCATGATTGTTTACACATTTTCAAAAAAATTTCACCCTAACCCAACATCTTACTCTAAATCTAATCTAAAACAATAACAACCCTAACCCTTTCTTAAACATAATTTATTTTCCTATTCATGCCAATCATGAATTAATTTTAACATCAATTGTGACTTTGTAAAATTATGTTGTACCTTATTATGAAAATAAATTGTGCAAATAGGATCGATATCGATACGATATCGTCATGATATTGTTGATATCGACGACATCGACATAATATAGAGTCTGGTAAGTCGTTCGTTAAATATAATTTGTAATGTGCATATGTGTAAATAATTTTATTGCTATTCTTTCATAAGTAAATGGGTTCAGTGGAGGTTTATTTTAATAAATAGAATTTATGAGTTAAAGCATATTAGCAGGAGAAACTAAAGGAGTATTCTGTAATAATGTATTCGAAAAGTGGTGTAAATCAGAGGAGGATGCTGTAAATCAGATTAGGATGCTTAAAAGTTCCAAGGAACTTTTGAAACATTTGAAATCACAGAACTTTACCAAAATCAACATCATAAAATCTTACGACTTTTTAACTTCCTTATGATAAATTAAAGTCCAGGCTTTTTGATGTCATTGACAGCTGCATGCTTTTTTCAATAAAAATGGAACTTTCTAAATTGCCTTACCTTGTTATTGGTCATTTGCAAAATTATTTTCTTTTAAAAAAATCTTATTTTATTAGAAAAGACGTCAGTGGTAACGTAACAACAAAGCTTAATGATAAACGTGATAACTAACTTTTCAATCAACTTCCCTTAATTATGCAGCACTATATCTTCATCACCTGCATACGGGGCTTACATCCATCAGTTGATTCAATACCCAGGAGCATGTTCTACGTATGAACAATTTCTAAAACGAGGTAGGTTGATGAAACAAGAATAATAACGGTAGACTCGTTTAATGTCATCATTAAAAAAGTTATATGGCTTTGTCGGCAATTATCATTGAGTCAAATGCTCACTGACGGTTTTCAATTGGTTATTTCTTTCTTTCTTTATTTACACACTGAAATTTCGACGGATTTTTCTGCTTTTTTCTGATCATGACAAAGAGCACACAGCGGATGTGACCGGTCGGTAAGGGATGCTCATTCCTATATGGCACATGATCCCACCTCTGATGTTTTAAAGGTCTGTGTTTGCTTAACTACTACCGATTTGTAACAGTTGTTTAATGAACTTTCGAGCTTGAATACTGTTCTTGATCTCCATTTATCTCATGAATACTTAAATAATTTATATATATGCATTGCTGGGGTTTTCTACTTTAATTTCGCATGGTCGTATAGAGTCATACATTTACATTTAATCCGAATGAAAAATGTGGGTAGGATCCAGGATCCAAGGATGTTTGATAGTGTCCATCCCTAGATGCATCATTCTCGAAAGTTTGGTTCAGGTAGGACATCAGCTGTCTGACCTCCACTCCATTAAGCTGAGTTAATCTTAAATTAACTGAAAGAAGCTGTACGTATACAGAATATGATTTAAAGTGAAACTGAAAAACAATTGAAGTGAAAAAGAACACAAACATTTTTTGTGAAAACAATTTTTTTATTTCTTTGGACATTTTTATACAGTGCGACATTCGTATGGGGAAAGAATTAGGATACTACTCTTTTACAATATATTATATCTGCTTAACACTTTAACATTGTAAGGGATACTAAAAATAACACATGACATGTATAAAACAGGTTGCAATGATTAAAACATACATGTTAAATATACGTATATCTGTAATTAAATTTATCGACGTAAAAAAAAATAAGAAAAGAATTACGGTTTTCAATGAAGAAAATGAAGGTGAAGGACCAGAGAGAACTTTGTATGTCAATTTAATGCTTCTGGTAAATGAAAACAAATACGAAAGAAAAAGAAATCATATTAATGAAAATGTTCTGGTAAAAAAAATATAAAAGAAAAGATTTGATAAAAGCATTTAATCAATAAATATTTCATAAATACAAGCATAATTGTAAAATTGCGTATTTCTTTAAAACAGGTACATGTAAATATTAGAGGGCATATTATCTATTATAATAAATTTATAAGATTTCTTAACATACCCGTACTTATTCTTGTAAAGCTTACGGCTATTTGAAGTTAAGTATATATACTTTTGTTAATAAATAATTAAATCTGCAATCTAATTAATAAAATGTAATTTACATATTTCTTATATGTCAACATACAACTGATAAGATCAAGTTACATTTTTTATGACTTGGGTAACAAAGGAAATGAAGATGGCACCATAAAGCGTATCATTAAAAGAAGAAAATGAAATCAAGCCTTTTATACTTCAAGATAAAATTTGATATGTTGAAAGCGTAATATTTATAACATACACTCACAATATACAGATACAGTTAATTAGCAATATCACAAACGATTTTATAGCGATATGGACATGGTGGGATTTTATATTCGCTTTGATACAGCTGGCAAATATAAACTTTGGTTCCTTGGTTATCTTTTACCATTCTTGGGATTTTTCGTCTTCTTGTTGATCTTACATACGTTTGTACCGACCCAGTTCTTTTTTGCAGTTTGGACAGGTGTGGACGACGTCTTTGAGAGAATCAATACATAGGGCAATGAAACAAAACGGCCATAACCTGAAATAAGAGGCAAAATGATCAAAAATTCAAAATACATGAACTCAACGGTTTCATCCTTTTGGTGATTATGGCATCCTATATGTAATTGGTATTTCTTTGTGATTTCTTTGTGATTTTAAGAGCCCACAAACTTGAATTTGAGGAAGTTTCCAAAATGCTCAATGTCATATAGGCCTACATCAACCATTGACGTTCCACAATGTCGGAGGAAGAAAGGGGGTGTTATTTACACTGTATAGCGTATGCATTCCGTCGTCTTTTTGTTGACCCTGTATCGTTTTGTAGACGTGTTCAGTGAATATCTTATTTATTTCCTTCCTCCTAGAAGATTTTGAATGTTTCTTTACAATGCTTAGTTACAACATGAAGAATGTACGGGACAAAAGTAAACATACACCTCTTCACTTTTATAGCTGTGTCGTTTTATCTCGACGTTTAAAACCCTTGATGCCCTAACCCTAACAGGAGCTGTACGAGTGTAAAGCACAAGTCATATGATACATCTATAAAAATATTCACAGACCTTATCACTGACAAAATATATATAACAAGACGAAATTTTAATCCGGACACGCAATTTGTCCAGACTTTTTACTACCATTTTTAATTGTGATGATAGAATTTGGTGGGAGTTCTAAGCAGTATACTACGAGGTCTCATGTTGAACTCACAAATATATACTTTTTTGAAGAGAATCCCATGAAAGAATGGTTGGATTTTTAGTCCTAACGACTATCCCACCTTTCTCCCATGGGAGAAAAATTATCAGACGCGATATTCTCTCCCGTTGGGATTTTACACTTGGCTTTTATGCTCAACAAGTTTATTAGTAATGTCTGAAATGACATTTTTTTAACTTTACCGTTTTGGATGCGTTCTGCATGGTGTAATTTTTTACGTTTTTTTTTTAAGATCTCATGAGCAATTGAGCATGTCATATATTACTTACGGTAATTTTCTCTCTTGACCAGGTAAATTTACCCCCCAAGAAGGAAGCGATATCTTTTGTTTAAATAGATAATCTATAGAATGTGTACATATTGTGTATGTGTAATAATACTGGTCATCTATCACATATATCAAATCCTTGCTCCACTTCTTAGAGCCATATCATGCATCATAATATATATCAAATATCAAATATGAATTGATCAACTTGTTTGCATCAACCATATGTATAAAATGACACTACCTTTATACAATAACATAATACATGTACTTACTGATGAACACAGCTGACAGAGAAATATGCAGTGTGTCTGCTATCCAGTCTTATACCAGATTGCACTACTGTCATATAACAATGTTCAAATCAATATCTATATGCCTATACAGAATAACAAGATCGTAATAAATAGCAGTCTATTACCAGAAGCAGGCGATCAGGACACACATGCACCAGGCAAAAGTTCCTATCTCTGTTGTGGTTCCTGTCACAATGTCCGCTTGACAGTTTGGACATTTTATCTGCAGCGGGTATCTGCCGAACTTCAGAACTCCGCCCGGGTAGCCCATGGGCTGGGCGATGACCACATCTGATATTATGAATAAAGAATTATTTTCATGTATTCTCTGACAGGGTTAGTGGTTTCAGGAGTGAAATATGTTAGATCTATGATTGATTGATTGTATGTTGTTTAACGTCCCTCTCGAGAATTTTTCACTCATATGGAGACGCCACCCTTTGCCGGTGGAGAGCTACAAATTTTGTCCTATACTCGGCACTGAGGGCCATTGAGCAGCGAGGGATCTTTTTCGTGCCAGCACCTACTGCGACACAGGACCTCGGTTTATATGGTCTCATCCGAAGGACCGGGTCCGTCGTCATAAAACTTTGAGAATTCTCAAAATAATTCTCAACTCAAGTCTTGAGAATTACTCACCTGAGATGTTTAGAATAAAACAGAGTTTAAAGACCCAATTTTTTTACCGTACGGTTACCTGAGGAGGGGGAGTGGTCCAAGTAACAGTGGTGTTATTTACCTGGAGACCCCCAATACCCAAGATGTCAAAAAAAACTGTGTATACGTAGCATTACACAGGAAGTCTGTCTGTGGTAATCAGGGTCAACATTCCGTGTTTCGTGTTTAAATTTGAGTGAAACTACTTGAAATAATTGAAATATTTCTATATAAAATTTAATTATAAATACTTTCAGCGATATCTTATGAGGAAAAAAATTATAAAAAAAATATATCGTTTTCATATTTTTACAAAATATTGTAAAATTAAAGAAAAGAACACAGAGTAAAACTACAAAGTAAACATATCTTTTTTAATTAAACTTGTGTAAATATTAAAATAAAAAAAAATATTCCATTCATAGGCCTATCCGTCGTGTGAACATACTCAATGTACCGCGATAGGAATATTGCTTACATTCTGACCAACAATAGTGTCGAAAATATTCACCATTTCCGGGTGTTCGTGTGTTTAAAATTTTTTATTGTTTGCAGGATTTCTTTTATACTTTTAAGAATTGATCTTTGGCTTTATATATATACTTTTTTATTTCGCATATAGGGTATTGACAGACGTTAGGAAATTCGAACTAAAAGTTAAAATCTCGAAACTCATGTTTCTGACATTTCAGAACTTTACAACGGAACAAGGTGTAGATTGTATTCATATATACATAGATAAGACATGGGATGAAAGAATTTTTTATCCATGCTTGTGTTAAATATATTTCGTATTTATCATATTTCAATTTGTTATAATTTTAATCGGCAAATAGCGTTTCTGTGCAAGGACCGTCTAAATTCTACGAAGATATCTTGGACGACATATCGCCTAATATACGATACACCCGCTGAGATTGAAAGAAAATATTTTTTGAAGTCAAGTTTTAATTATCTACTCTAAATTATTTTTGAAATAAAATTTAACCAAGATTCTTTTTTTAACCCCTGTGTATACAAGGCGGGTACATGAAAGTGTTTGACGCGTGACCAGGCAATCGTTTTCAAAACACACAAACTCAGACTATCAGGCAGCACGGGTACATGTAGCTGGCCTGTCAATCAAATCAGAAGCTATTGTTTTTTTAATGATTGACAGGCGGTAAATTATTGATCTTGAATCAGGTAGATTTTGGGGGCGTTAACATAAAATTGGGTGTTTAAGGAATTTTTTTTTCTCAACTTTTTATGACGGACGCTGAGTCTGAGAATTTTGGATATGAGAAAAATCTCAAACTTGAGAACATTCTCAGACTTCTTCACGTCCCACAGTGGGATTCGAACCCGCGACGTAAGGATTGACTCCTTACTTCGTCTTCGCTACTCTACAGCAGACGCTCTAACCACTGCGCCACGCGGGCTTATCATAATAAAGATTATCAATCTATTTTTCGGGGGTGGGGGGGGGGGGGTTCAGTCAGTTTATTTTTGAAATACAAATATGAAGATAAGTAAGTGATTCTTTATTCCGTTCATTAAACATATTATATTCCTGACATAGAAATCTTAACATAAAAAAATATGTTGGTGACTCACTGTGCTGTACTTGTGCTGTGTAGTTCTGGGGGTATCCCGGCTGGCTAGGATAGCTCTCGGGGTTCAGGTTGGGATAACCAGGATCTGTTGATTAATCAGACATTAAGAAAGTCACTAAAGCTCCATCGTCGTATCGTGATTACTCATTACATCACATTACTTTTTTAGCATATATCATATTTCACATCCATTTTATTTGAAAAACACAAATATACGTGTATTAAACTAACAATCTACATTATTTTATTACTTATAGATCTTCACACCTTACATAACAATTATGAACATTGAAAATGTACTATCGAAATAATTGTCCAATCCATCCTATAGCACTTGTAAATCATAAAATGGTGACAATGGATAAAGAAATAGGCCAAGCTGTGTCCTCATTCTTCACCCCGAGATTATACATGTATATGATCTACCATGATCTAACCTGACAAATGATTTCTGACTCTATCTCCACTTACTTTGTCCCTTCTCACTGTACGGTGGCGGTGGGTCCGACATGATGTGCTGTGGTGCTGGTATTTTGCTGCTAAATTTGCAACTTTCACTTCATCAAAATCACGTGATAATAACAATCGATTTTCTACGGCAGGTTGCACATGTCATAATAAATAATTATTTTAATATTTCTTTTATGCATGGAGTCATGACACATGTATGCTTTATGACTTTATTTAACAAAAGATCCTTAAATTACACAGGACAACAAGTAAATGGTTACTGTGATTTTTTTTTTATTTAGAATTCACAGTTATTATAATTTTCTTAGAAATACACATATGTATATAAAGAATATATAATCATAATGAAATCTTCTTTCACAAAAAAAATTATATATTTATGCTGTAGGATCTAAATTGACCGACAGGAAATAACCTAACAGAAAATAACTCATGCTTGTAGAAAGTGAGGGAGAAGCAGAAGGGGGGTATTACAACGCACTTTGAATTTTTTTTTTCAAAGTACATGAACGTAATTTTTTTTATAGTGCGTTAACTGCCACAAGGAGGTCTCAAATAATTTTGCCAGTTTATAAATACATATAAACACAAACATACATGTATATTTGTTGTCTTTTTCTATTCAAGACATTTTTGCTTATTAATACCCCTTGCAAACAATTGTATCCTTCAGGCCAAAAACTCACAAAAGCCTGTACGTGTACTCTATAATGTAACCTTTTATTTTACTTTCTGATCTAACAACAAGATGAAATTCACACACTGATTAATAAAGAAACCATAAAACACTGGTACTTATTGTTTTTGAAGTGTGGATTGAGAGGTGTAAGAAAGGAATTAAGGAAGGAAATAAATAAGTGTTAGAAGTAACAAATCAATTAAAAGCTTCTATATTACCCCATTCATACGACATGATTTGCATCAATCGCAACTTCTCGGTCCTTTCCGACTAGCGGAAAAACGACCACGAATGTATATGGTAGAAGCCATGACAACCCTCCCTTTTCACGATCTTTGAAATAAATGCATGGAGACCTTTTATCTGTGGAATATGTAATGTAATGATATTACCTAAAATATACTATTGAAGAGGCTTCTAACTCCGTCTATCCTTTATTTGAATAAACAGGAAATGTATACATTTTTAACATCCGGTGATGTTAATACATTAAGCATTTTCAGAGAGAAAAATCTGAGATGATGCGTTTTGCATACCTCAAATTTGACACGTGAGAAATTGTAGTTTTTGTCGTTAAACTGATATACTCATATGCAAATTTGATTTAAAAAATTTACACCTGGACAGTCCTGTTGCAAATTAACTTTTAAAAGTGTAGCAAATTATTAGTTCATGTGTGTAAATTGTATTAGAACACGCAGCAAATTTACTTATGTATGCATTTTATTTTGTTTATTTCATTAAATGTCCATAATAAGTGTTGTTTATGTGTATGCATTGGCGTGTAAAATATCACCGTAAACATGGTTAGATTGATTATTGAATATTGTAACGGAGAATTTTTTCACAGAAAACACATGGAGAGCTGCAAATTTTGTCCTTTAGAGTATATAGAGAGCCATTAGGGAAAATAATTACTGCGACAAGGGATATTACTTCACTAAAATTAAGGATCAACTTACTTGTAAGACGATCAGCTCAAACCATCTTCCAAGGTGACTAGAAACAAAACTATTAAACAAGGAGCCATTATCCCTTTCCCGCTCGGGCCCCATTGCCGTTTAGCTCTTGATGAATTTCTAATAATTATTTATTTTCCAGTAGAATGAAAAGGGTGAAGAAAATCTAACAGTGATATACTCAAAAATCTTTGAACAATACAAAATCTTAAAAGAAATTAACACGAACCCCTGACATTCATGATACAGGCGCCAAGGATGTTAATTACAAATGCTTATTTTCACTAGCTTATTGAAATTCCAGTAACAGAGAAAGGTAGAAGAAAGTCATCAAGAGCTAAACGGTAACTGGCTGATGGAATGAGAGCATTTCCAAGAAGAAAACTTGAATAGTAAGGACACTACTTGTTGATCCTACAGGGCACTTATTTGCGACCACAACTATATCTTTAGAGACATAAACATTGCCAGAAATATATCCCTCTTTTTATTCGAAAATTTATCTCGAAGGGGATAATGGCTCCTTGTTTAATAGTTTTGTTTCTAGTCACCTTGGAAGTCGCCCGCGTGGCGCAGTGGTTTGAGCGTCTGCTATAGAGTCGCGAAGTAAGGAGTTGATCCTTACGTAGCGGGTTCGAATCCCATTGTTGGACGTGGAGACCGGTCCTTCGGATGAGACCGTACATAAACCGAGGTCCCTTGTCGCAGTAGGTGCTGGCATGATTCCTCCCTGCTCAATGGCCCTAAGTGCCGAGTATAGGACAAAATTTGCAGCTCTCCAACGGCAAGTGATGAGAGAAAAATTCTCGAGAGGTACGTTAAACAATATTCAATCAATCAATCTAGCCACCATGTTTACGGACTGATATTTTACACGCCAATGCATACGCAACCGAAACAACACTTAAAATGGAAATTTATAAAAAAAAAAAAAAAACAAAAAACAAAAAAAAAACAAAATGCATACATAAGTAAATTTACTGCGTGTTCATACGACACAATTTACACGTGTGCATGAACTAATAATTTGCTACAAAGTATATGCAAAAGTTAATTTCCACCTAGTCCTGACCAGGTGTAGATTTACTCCACTGTGCAGAATTTGCATATGAGTATATCAGTTTATAGGACAAAAATTGCACATGTGAGTAAATTTACTCATGTGTAAAATATACTGAGGTATGCAAATCATGTCGTATGAATGGGGTATAAGTGTCTGTTTATATTGCTGAAATGCTGGTCGTCTTATTCGCTTGAGAGTTATATTCCTTTACACGGTGAACAAGTATGACACTGCTATAATTCATAAACATATAATATTCAAAATAAAATCATTTAGAGTTAAGAATTTTAATACATTAGTTCAAATTTCTAAATTTCAAAATACTCAAACGTGTGCATATTGAATTTAATATTTTAGCTCAAAAACCTAAACTTTCAAACCCCCACCCCACCCAAAAAAATATATATAAAATTTCGACCTTCTAGATTTTTCACCAAAACATTCAAAATTCAAGTTTCAAAAAACGATTTTGTTATTTTAAATTTTTGAGATTTTAATCTATCGTTTGTTCAGAACGTTTATACCTCAAAATCAATTTTCATAAATTAATAATTAAAGTTTTTAGTTCCATAGTAACGACAGCTATTTTGTTTTTACATTCAAACACCAGAATCTTGGAGAGAGACACTTATTCATCAATATTATGTTACATGCAGTTTGAAATACAATTGTAGAAAAATCCCTTAACTGGGGGAAATATAATTTTAAAAAATTCCTTTTCGTTTCCTTGGAAGCGGTTTACGATTATACAAATATTGCATGTAGTAGAGTGTAACATTGAAAATTTTCACCCCTCGAAAACCATTGTCAACCGAGGCGGTTTTCCGGGGAATGAGATTTCAGAGGTGACGTATACTCTATTAAAGATTGTTAAAATAAAATACTAGCATAGGAAACCGTGGGCTGTATGATCATGCACCTGTGTTAGGCTGTGTATAAATGCTCAATTATTTTATGTGTGCGCATTATGCACATTATAGAATAACTATTGTCGATTCAAGGGAGACTGGTTATATTTGTGGGTATTACTATCTTCTGACAGCAGTCAATTTAAAATTAATCTCAATCCATGAATGAACTAACATATATACATTCATTTACTTAAGAAAATTACAGAGAAGATTGTGAAGAGAAAAATTTAAACTGATGACAAGATTACAGTTATTTCGATCAATATCTGATGGTCCTGATTTGATTTTTCTTTCAGGTCTCAAGAAACTACATTATGTCTTTAAGATGGCAGCCAAAGGAAAGAACCGTGGTTTTCATTTCATCTAAACAATGCTTTTCATTTCTGATTTACCCCCTCTTAGAATTCTTCCCTTGCTAAACGCGTTCTACCCGCGTCAATATTGACTCATTCTACTCTCAAGTGCTAATAAATTCATGCATTTTAAATCCATAACAATGCACCGCAGTGAAAATATTGAATGCAAAACATAATGCTCACAACTCCTTAATCACAAATCTGCTGGAAAAAGATGTTAAGTAGACTATTTTGGTTATAATGTAAACAGAAAATGGTGTGTTGAAAACCTCAATTTGTAAGCAAGTGTTTAAAGAAAATGAAAAGTGATAGGTTTGAAGATAATGCATGTCTGAAAGTGTTAGGGCGTGACTTCTTAGCAACTGTACGTGAAAGTTTTATCATTTGTCAACGTTCGAATTACGGAGTTCCGTTGGGACCAATAGCACCTAAACGGCGAAGTTGCGAAGGTTACTTCCCAGTTTTGCTTTTGAATTTTACTTTTGTGAAGCTCTTTATCGCTACATGTAAGATGTCACAAGAAATACACCTGTGAAATATGAAAGCCCTAGTTCCAACTTCATCAAAAGTCACGACCAAGGTCAAAATTTTAAAAAGTGGGTCAAACTCTAGGTACAAGGTCAAAAAAATATTTATACCCACTGAAAGCTAGGACTTGACACAATGAATACACATGTGAAGTATAGAAGCTCTAGTACCAATTGTTCAAAAAATATGACCAATGTTAAAGTGTTATTTTTTTTTGTTGGTAAAAGTGGGTCAAACTCCAAGGTCAAGGTCAAGAGGTTAAATTTGGCGGTACCCAAAGAAAGGTCTTGTCACAAGAAATACACCTGTGAAATATAAACGCCCCAGCCACTCAAAGTTATGAGCAAGGTTAAAGTTTGTGCGGACAAACAGAGAGACAGACGGACGGACAGGGCAACCACTATATACCCCCGAATCTTCGATTACAGGGGCATAAAAAATATAATGGGGGGGGGGGGTAGTGTCCAACTTTTTTCAAGGCCAACTTCCTTTCACTTCCAATTTTTTTGCATACGATACTACATTTCCTTGTTATCACTATACTGTGGTAAAAAGCGGAGGGACCAACCAACTTTTCAATGGACATTTTCAATAGTACAGGTAATGTTGGGAAAAAAAGTGAGGAGGTAGCCCCC